AAAAGGGGAGTGGAGGGGGGGAGGGGGTATTTTAAAGTCTGAGCTACAGAGGAACAAATCGAGACGGGTTGAATAAACCCAGCCAGATTAAACTCTGGTAAATGGTTTCATAGGAGACTGCTAAGAGTATCGTGGAAGGAAAAGAAATCAAATGAGGTAGTGCTTGATGAAGTCCACGTGGGACGCTCAATCTTAAAAACAATCCGTAAATGACAAATGCATTTTTAGGACACCTGAGTAGACATAAGGGTCTTGAACATCTAGGGCTCACTGGCAAAATTAAAGGCAAACGAAGCAGGGGTAGGCCCAGAACAACCTACTTAGGGAACATAAACAAAATGGGTAACAGTGAAAGGTCAGGGAATCGTAGCTTTTTATTTTAGAGCATCCGAGCGAAGGAATGAGTGAAGAACCATGATCGCCGATGTCTGTCGCAGATCTGGCACTGGATGATGATGAAATGATTTTATCAGAACGAGGTCATTTGATGGACCGAAACATATCAGCACGACATGGCACTAAACGAGTTCTACTTCTAGAACAACTTGACGCTGAGACTTGGCCATGTATTGTATACCATTAATTAAGGACTTTACTCTGAACTACTAATATAGACATCAAGGGACACAACAACGATATTGGGTGCCACAATGAGACCACGCGTAGTTATCTTGTTTTAAAGGACCTTGCAAAGATAAAACGATGGCTTGCTCCCCTATTACAGATTGTACTCTATGAAATGCAGGTGGTGGCACTTCTAATAATATTATTATTACTTGCTTGGTACTTTGGTTTAAGGCAATTATGTATATTATGCATTTAAAAAAGTAGAGAGAAAGTTTTTTTTACCGAAAAAAAACTATTCGAGAGGTGAGGCAAAACATCTTTATCAGCACCCGTGGTGACGTACGGGACAAACTGAGTCGTGCTACGTTTGTGGGATAAGGCAACGCTAGCGCCATAGACTTGTGTTATGATATCTTAGATCATACATTCTGACGTATATCCGGTACACTCTGGAGAGCACTATTTGATCCAAACGAAAGGGTGAATAATGGAGGAAAGGAAGGAGAGAGGGAGGGAAGGAGATGCTTACCTTTGTACATGTACTTATACCGTTGAAGTAAAAATATTGAAAGGGATTTAGAGGGAGGGAGAGAGAGGCTGGGTGAGTGGTGAAGTGAGTGATTGAATGAGCGTGAGGAAGAAAGGGAGAGAGTGAAGGGAAGACTTACCTTGGGACATTTCCCTATACCGTCCGGAACAGAATAGTCGGCGCCCTGACAGCAGACCCCCTCTGGCACACAGTCGTAGCCGTGAGGACATGACCTTTTACCCCCGGGCTCACACCAGGTGGCCGTGTAGAAAGAGGGCAGACCCTCAAACCTCAGCAGGAGAGATCGTTCGTAGTGGTGTCGTCTGCACAGGTCGTCAGATCCTGCAGACACCAGCGGAGACAAAAGGGTTAATGTTTTCCGTTTCTGGCAGATTCCAGGCTGACCTGAAATCCCAAACTTGCAGCCCGTGGACTAATCGCGGAGCACAGGACGACACTTTGCGGCCCCAACGTGATACCAAAGTTTTTGGGGGGAGGGTTGTTTTAAAAAGTGTTTTACGGCACTTGCAACACAATAAGGTCATGTAAGTGCCAAAGATTAGAGGTTTTTCAAGAGAGTAACAAACACAAAATAGAAGGAGGGGAGATAAGGACGACATATGTTTGATATGAAAGAAGAAGCAAACCACACCAGAGCACCCACCAGCCATCCACACATCAAAGTTTAGAAGTTTGGCTACAGTCGTTTTTCCCCTTTGCTCTTCATGTTTGAAAAGCTCTTTTGTAC